AAGTACAGAATATAAGCTTAATAATGTTAGAACAAGCACTTTAAAACCAGAACTCATGTAAGTTATCAAGTTAAAGACTTTGATGCATAAAATATTTATGCATAATTAATATATTTATGACAAAGGTGTAAGGTTGTGTACTTTTGTTCAACTGAGCAATCTTGCTTTTATAAAAAATACATTAATGTTTAATGATTAACATGCTGTAATACACAGTTTAAAATTATTAAAAGTCTAAATTCTAAAAGTCTAAAAGTCTAAAAGTTTAAATTCTTAAGTGGAAAAAGATTGTCCCTCAGTAGTGATCGGGATTCAAAACTGGGCATTCTTTGGCGACAGCTCAAATGCTGTACATGAGACATTAAGCTTTATTATGGTTTTAAAGGTGCTTCCGGATACTATTATCATATTTCAATTAATGCAATTAATGCAATATTGCGCGACATCCAGTGCGTTTTAACGTAGGGTACCTCGTGCAATTTAAATGGCTGTATTCTTCATAATTTACTTCTAATTATTGACACTAACTTATTATTTGTCCTGATTCTGGATTTTAATACCAATTATATGATTAGAGTGGCTCTAAAAGCTGTTCATATCGAAACATTCCTAATTAAAAGAAAGGTTTTAATGTTTCAAAAGTTTTTTTGCAGCAGGTTCTGTAACAGCATGAAAGACCATTTGATGTTTTAAAGTGTTGCACTTCTTGAAAAATACATAATTTATGTATTATATAAATACCATTACTTATCAAGATACAAAAGCATGTTGTGGTAAATTCACTTAAAAAGCTACTATAGTACATTACAGTATATAGGCTAAAGAACAGAAGAATTTGGAATTTCTTCACAAATCTGTGAGGGAAAATCTGTGATAATGGAATACTGTACCACTATATTTCTCTGCATACTGTATATATATACAGTAAGTGATAACACCAAATATTTATTTGATTTAGACAAGTCTAATTTTGTTTAATTTACAAAAAGTAAGCATGTTAAAATACAGAATGTTATTGCAGAACAAAGAACAAGCCTTCCACTTTGATGGGTGATAAGAAATACGTTATTGCTTTGAGTGAAAAATACTGTAATAACTCAGAATCTTGCAGATGGAGGTGAAAAACGTAAACATCTCAATTAATCTTTAATATCATACCAAACCTCTAATTTAGTAAGGCCAATGTTTACTCTTATTCATTAAGCAACAGCAAAAACAACCATTCTTAATTTTGAAAATTAGGTGTCATCTCAGTAACAGAGTCCATAAATCTACAATATTGTGGTCTTTTCAAACAGGATTAATTCCAAAAACAATGACTACAGTACATTCGTTTACTTAAGAGTTCCACCAAAGAGAAGCAATCGTGGAATTAAATCAAAAAGCTCTTAATTTCACTCTAATTAAAGTAAATGTTTTGAAAAAAACATTTTAATAAAGATTAAACAACGCATCTATCTGGAACTTAAACATTTTACTAATATTTACTATTGAAAAAGGAAACTAATTTGGAATTCATGACCTGAATGCATGCAAATGAATAGTTATTTCTCCCTGTTTAATTAAGTTTGAGGGAGATGGATTCTGGGAGGAGGGTTATATTCTGAAGGAACTACTGTACATCTCTCAAAACAGCTCACTCATTCAATAACAAATCACCTACTGTATGTGGAAGTTAGACAATACACAAAAGGAAATGAAACATGGATTTCATTGCATAAGAAAGACTACAAAAGAGAGGAGCCCATGTGGTCAACCTAGTGTGTTTTTTTTTTTAAATTGAGCCAGGAAAAATATTATTTGGAAAATACAAGAAGTTCTTTTGTTTCATATTGCAGTTAAAAAGATCAGCTTGATGTCAAAATTAATGACTTTGTCATCCATTTCATTGTACTAATTCAACACTTAAATACAAGTGTTTTTCCAAGGAGGACAAAAATGCAGTTAATTTTTTACTTTTGCATTATTCACAATAAGAATATCTGTATTAATGTCGGCAGAAGATGCTTCTTTTGACTCAGGGTCTCGGAGCACCTCAGGTAACCTTTCTTAAATTCTGAATCAGGAATTGTAGAATTAGGTTCCAGAGCTCTGACCTGGAGTTATTGCTACACCGTTGCCATTGACAACGGGTCTCTCCTCTTCCTCTTCCTCTGGAGGATCGATGCCGGCCTTCTCCATGTTGCTAACTGACTTGTTTCGCTTCCGTTTCCCCTCGGCACTAGGTCTGGCGCCTGGTAAGATCTGGTCTGTTACATTTAGCAGCAAGGGGGTTGGTTCAGCTGGTGGTTTGGGTGTGCCGTAATAGTTATCTGTAAAAGATACATTAGAAAAAGAAATGTAAAACCTTAATACTTTATACCAAACTAACTCTTACAGGGTTGTGTTTAAAAACATTTCTTCTTAACTTTACATGAGTCTCTATCCCCAAGAAATGTACTTTCAGGCTCACATTGCCACCAGTGAAGACAACACACCTAGATATATTTGAAAGCTGTTTTTTCTAAAAATCTTCATCCTGGATAATCTCTCTTATTGTCAAATATTTAATATAAAGTAAGTCTGAAGTCATTGAAGAACTCATAGGGAGCAGATTTTACTGAAAGTATTAACAAGGGTACAAAGCACCTTGGAACTGGAGAGACATTAATTTTCTGTACACTGCAAATGTAATTAGATAATGGAAAACCTGTAGTGGGGCTTATGCATACCGCAGAAGCCAGGAACTCAATAGTTTTAGATGATGGAGGCTATGCAGCATGATCAGTAAGTTTGATTAGCACAAAACATGATATTTTAAAATGGACTGATGCAAACATGGATGTACTCAATCACACTGGAAACATTGTATGAAAAAGACATGACTCCAAAAGTATTTAGCATATACAGTGCCATCCATACATATTGGGACTTTGCTCTATACTCAAGCAATTAAGACTGAAATTAAAAGATTAATATGAGGCAAAAAATACAGAATGTCACCTTTTATTTCTGGGCATGTCTGTGCTTATGTGCTTTACTTTAACATTCTAAAATAATACCAATTTTTCAGTTCCATCAGCCCATTTTATGTGCAGTAAAGAACTTAATATTTGGTTGCAAATCCTCTGTATGCACTGCTATACAGTATATTGATATCAGTGAACTCTTGTTTTGTTCTTTCCAAGCCTTCAAAGTCTTTGCTGCTGCTATTTTCTGTTGCTGTTTTGGGAGGGGGGGTTCTGACTTTAGTCTCTGTTTCAGCAAGGCAAATGCATGCTTGATTAAATTTCAAACTAGAGATGGTCTTTGCCAGTCTAAGACTTTACACTTTTTTGCCAGATGAACTTGGTTGCCTTGGCAGTGTATTTTGGGTCATTGTCCTGCTGCATGATAAAGTACAAGACAATGAGTTTGGAGGCATTTTCTTCTAGTGTACAGAGGCAGATAAAATATTTCTTTACACTTCTTTAGTCATTCCACCATCAATAAAGGACCACCTGCAGTTCATTACTTTCTCAATACTTTTATCTTGCCATCACTTTGTTAGAGATTTACTGTATCTTTGATTAATCTGTTTATAACACTTTGTTCCAGAACTCTACGGGCTCATTTCACTACTTTTTAGCAAATTTTAATCTGGACTTTCTTTTTTGGTGCAGGTGAGAGGTTTGCATCTTGTGGTGTAGCCTTTATAATTCTGCCGTCAAAGTGTTCTGTGGCAGAAATTATCAAAGCTACTATGTGTTCTGTAACAGTTGTTTAAGAGTTTTTCTTCACAGCTCTGATAATTTTTCTATCATCAACAGCAGCTGTTTTCCTCGGTCTCCTTGATCTTTTCTGATTGTTAAGGACGCCAGTGGTTTCTTTCTTTTTTAAGATATTTCAAATTGTGGACTTAGTTATGCCATGTTTCTGTGCTATGAATCTGCCTGAAGTTTTATTTTCTTTCAACATCCAAATTGCTGTCTTTTCTTTCAGACAATTTTGTAGTATTCAAGTTAGTTCAGGCCTACTGATTCCAAAGGCAGACATCAAAGGGAAGAGCAAGGGATAAATCCAGCACTACACATTCGCAGCTCTTTTATGTGTGCAGAATCAATGCAATATGAAACACCTCACCAATGAGAAACATCTGGCACCCAACTGTCCTAATACATATGCTCATCTGAAATGGGGGTATTAAACACAACAAGTGCTATTATTCTAAAATGGTACAACATAATGTACTACATAAGTACAGTATAGATAAGATAAGATCATTTTATTAGCCATATACAATTTCTTGCATTAGGAATTTGTCTTTTCGCATAAGTACTGTATAAGAAATACCCAGAAATAGAAATAGAAATAAATGCTTTTTAAACATTAATAGATCCATAGAAAATGTGTTAAATCAGTAGTTATACAATGCATTTAAATATAAAAACTCTTTGCTTGACAATAAATGTTATTTAGCCTTTTTTTTAAATGATAGAAGTACAGAAGATCAAAAAGCAGTAATGAAATCAGTTCAATAATTTATGTGTCAATGAGGAACATACAGTATATACACAGTACATAATTCCTACCTTCTAAAAACTCTCATTTGTAATCTTTTACAAAACTATGTTCCTTCACATCTCCCTTCTAACTTTCTTACTTTCTGGATGCAAGCTAGTACAGAACTAGTGTAATGAGCATGATTAGCTGTTTTTGCTTAAACTATTTACCTGAACAGTTTCAGTTCAGAAACACAATGAAATACAAAATGTAAACTTTTCTGTATATGCATCTCTCCCTCTCTTTGCAAGTCTTCTTCAGGTTGGAAAGAACAAGAGGTGGAACCACCTGCTTAATTGCAACTCCAGTAACACATTTCCTTGGAAACCAGTAGCTAGGAGGTAAGAGGTAGAGAGAGATTTATTCACTACCTTAAGGCACAGGCACTGCGACAGTACTTATGAGGTAATTGACTTAGCGAGGTTTAAGATGTTTGATAAAGCCCAAGAAATTTCTTTCTGAATTCAAAACTTCTAATTATAACTATTTTTTAAATGGCAAATGCATGTAAATTCATGCAACACAGTCATATACAAAGGGTGGACAAAATTATGGAAACACCTATCGAAAAAGGACATGTACAGTATGTTGACGTAACTAAATCACAACTAAAAAGGATTCTATATGTGTTTCATATTAATGTAATATTAATTACCAATATGTATTCACTATAAAATGTCTTTAAAATAAACACTTTAATATGTAAGTTTCTAAAGCAATAATAGAGATCTAACAGATTTTTAAATGTCTGTTAGACACTTAACAGGATACTGTATGTAGTTGCTAAAAGTCACAGAACTGAATCTACACCTCTGTGACCCAGTTTCAACAAAAGCGATGTCATGAGCTTCACAAAGCTGATATTTATGGTAAAGCTACCATTCAGAAATCACTTATAACCAAGGCCAATGGGCAGCAACACTTAACCTGGTATAATGAGCAACAAAACCTGGTCTTCTCTGCAGTGAAAGAAAGTAACATGGTCTGGTGAGCAGCCTTTTAACTCTTTTTCCTACAGTATATCTGGATGGGTTTATGTTTGGAGAAAACCAAAGGAAGCTTTCAACCCACACTGCCTGTTCCCAGCTGTTAAACATGGTGGTTTATCTGTTATAGTATGGGCAGCCATCTCGTAAGTGTCACTGGGTCTGTTTATTACATTGCATAGTAGAATAATACTACCATTCTACATGTATCAATAAAAAAAACTTTTTTTAAAAACACATAACTAACCATAATGCTAGACAATATAGAAGACAGTATTTAATCATATGGCATGAAAAGACTACACATCCAAATGCAGAATTAAGATGATAATAATTAAAAATAGTAAAATGCATACAGTACAGACATCATTTTACCCCATCATTTTTTCCAGTAGTACATAACATACAGACTAAACATATCAACTTCAAGTGCCACTAAAGAGCAGCACGCTATAGTGCAATCATCATGGACCATCCGCCCCAGTCCACTGCAGCTCTGGAGGAAAAGCGAAAATTGCTGAATTCAAGGTGGAGCGACTGTACAAACCCAAAGTGAAATGAAGTCAAGACACCAGATTTAACATACCAACTCTTACGAACAATGCCATGGGATCATTAATGACCATGTTGTCATGATTTTACATTTCGCCGGGATGGCACCTCCCTGGGCACTGGCTTGGAAGCTGCAGCCTAGAGGAATGGCAGTTACTGGTTTTCCATTAAGGCCTCCCATCCCAAAGCTGACCAGTCCGAGCTGTGCTAAGATTTTCAGATCCGACAAGATCAGGCTACCAGTTAGTGCTGTAAAGTGGCTATTAGTTTTGTATTATGCTTGATCGGTTCTGACTGAAGTATACTGACAGACCATGTAAAGCTAGAAACACAGGTATGTAGTTTTAGATTGATATATAAGTAAAAAAAACATCAAAACTTAATGTAGGGCTAGTAATCTCTTAACAAAACAGTACATGCTGTTCAACACAAAATTTTGAAAATACACAAGGTTCCTTCATCATTGTCTTTAATGATGAAGTTAAGTGTGGAATTATTTATTTTATGAAATAATGGAAATTGGGGTTACTGGGGACCAGGAAGACATACTGTAAATATTTCCTGGAGGACTTTACATGTAAGATTTCTTCATAAGAATCAATACATTTTAACATTAACAGGGACCAGGACACATACATAAGTCTACAGTAGCGTATATTCATTTATTTGTGTATAAACAGAGTATTCCCTTTTCTGTGTAAACAGAATGATTACTGTAATGACCCATTAAGTTGAACAGTTAAATGTACCAACCTTGCTTGAAACATTTTAGAAACACTAAGGATTTAAAAATTAACAATGAATGAGAGAGAGAGAGAGCTTGCGTGTGAGAAAGACGTATTTTTTGCGAGTGTGAGCAACCGTGCATGACATAGACTAAGCAGTGGGAGATGTGTGATGAAAGCTACACAAAGCATAATACTTTTAAACATTTATATATGGTATAATGCTACATAAAGGTTTATTAAATACTCTACATATGATAAATAAGAACATATAGTACTGTATAGAGTTCAATTACTTGTATTTTTATTTTGTTTAGCAATGTAGTTTACACTTTTCACAGTTTCTCGGAATTTCTTTGTTAGGGTTCTTTGCCACACAAACTTGATGTAATACAACCACTCAAAGAACATCAAAATGGGTCAAGAGCAACAAATTACCATTAATCACTATCTCTCCAGTATGTGCGGCTATACCAGACATGAGAAAATAAGAAGCTTCTACTCCCCACAATTTACACTTATGATCCA